ATGTATTGTATTACTACATTTATGATTATCTCTACAGGTACATTAGAGAACCAGACATAAAAGTGTTACCTTAAACCCTTCCCTCACCAAGAAAAAAATCACTTTCGTGGTTCATCTTTGACCTCACTTGCATTCTGCTTGCTAACTCAGTTTCAGAGTGAGTTTTGGCATTGATAACATTTAATTTATTTTTCCAGGAAACAGAATCTGTCACAAAAGTATTGCCCTAAATGTGGACCACATGATACGCAGTTTATTTTCAGCCTTGGCAAGTTGCCTACTAATGGACAATAAAATCACAATAATAAGATTTGTAGCAGAATCTGCTGGTTTTTAAAATGTACTTCTCAATGCAATAAGCAAAGCCTGCATTAAACTATTAAAAAAACTCTAGTTGTCAAAAGGCAGCTGGTTTTCCATCCTGCTCAAGAAGCGATGCTTCTAATTCAAAGTTCAATGCTTATTTCCCTGTTTATCTTGGTTTAGTCTTTGGCTTCTAGGCATGACAGATTTTATTCTCCTCTGTTTCTTTGGGGAAAGCTATGATGAAGATATTCCTACATTGTCATCTGAAGATGGTGTAGGGTGTGGCTCTTCCTGGAGACCAAGGTGGGTCCCCATAGAAGAGTCTTTGGGATCAAGTGACATGTCCGTCTTCAGGGCTTTATGAATCAGTACCAGAAACTCAAAATGGACATTTCTGGCTGCAGAAACAGTGTATTTTGTTGTGCCCTGATATACTCAGGAGGTGAGCACCAGCATTGTCTATGAACTGCAGAATTTTGCTTGCACTAAGGCAGAACGAGTTACCAGCTTGAGAGCACTAAATGTTTTAAGTCTGATGCAGTGCTATTGTACCCACTATGGCTCCTGTTGTTACTACTGCTACCACTACTGGCATGACCCAAGAGAAGTGATCAGTGTATTGAGGTTTGTGTTTGTCAGTGAAAAGTCAAACTTTGCTATAAGAAATAATAAAACATTTTCTAGCCATCTTCAGGTAACAATATTTAAAACCACCCACTACCTTAAAAAAGCAGAATAGAACATTACATTTACTACTAGATTTTGCCTACTTTTCTCCTTGACAGAAAATTTAATTAATCACATATACACCATCCTGAATCAAACTCAGTATTTTCCGAATATTGCTGCTCTCACTTACATACTAGACATCTTTTCATCATTTTAGTTCTGTTTCTGCACTATATTTTATCCTTCCTAGATCTATGTTTAGTCTTCTAAGGTGTCAAAACAAATTATTATTAGAGAAGTGTGATGAGTTCTTTCTAATTTTCTTTAAAAAAGTACTGGAATAGGTAGTTAGTTGCACTTCCTAATTATTGGCTTGCCTATAAGGTCTTGAAAATATGTCAAAATAAGAAAAAAAGTTGTTATTGTACTGATTAAGATCAAGATATAATATTGATGATGCAAAAGCATAGACATTTATTCTAATCTTACACTAGGTGAAGACTTTTGTTCTACATCATGAAAACATGTAAAAATATTCCCTTTTTCATAAAATTCTTCACTCTTAAAATAGTTCAGGCTGTCTTTGGGTTAAATTATTCATTTAGCTTTCATAATAATAACTTTAAATATACCAGTCTAACTTAAAAAAAAATCCCACACAAAACAAGTACAAAATGAAAAACCAAAACCACAAAAGACTGTTGCTGTCAGGACTGCTATTCTCAATGTCATTCAGGTAGAATTTATTTTCATAAAGCCCATGGGAATTTTGTTAATATGAAAAGGAAGTCTAGGGCAGCAGTAGCTGCATTAAAAAGCTTTTTCTTAAATAGCATTTTTAAAGTTTGCCCACAGAAATTAATGGAAGACAAGATTCAAGACTTCTTCTTGAGGCGTAATGCTAATGGGACACAGAATGGATCTGGCTATTTTCTAATATGCAGGCCTGAAATATATGTCAGCACTGATTATCTTAAAACAGGAAATCTGCCAAAGTGCTCCAAGAAATTTGTCTAATAAACAAAAAATTACTGCTAAAAGGACCAGTTATTATGGTGGTTTGGAGATCGCAGGTGAGCTGTACACTTGAAAAAGACTGGAGTTTATATTTATTTTACAATAAAATAACAAAACCAAACCTATGTGGGCGAAAAAAAGGTTGAAAGGTCCCCCTTAAATCATTCTCATTCTCTCGCCCTATTATAAACTGTGGTATTGTTTTGCATGCACACCTATGTAGTATACGCAATTTCACAAACTTCAAGACTGTTTTGGTAAGTGGTGTTCACGCTTTCACTATCGGCATTTTGTAGTGAGTAGAGGACACATTCAAGAAGTGGCAAAGAGGTCTGATACACTATACTGAAACAAAAGTATTTACCATTTTTTTAACCACAAATTGGACTCAAATGTTTGATTTTCCTTCCCCAGTAACTATTCCAAACATGCCAGACCTACAGAACAGTTCTCTATCTCTGGAGCCCTCTGCACTGTGCTCTTCCTACTTTTTTGCTCTCTTTGTCTTAGGTGTATCATGCTCCCTTATAGCTTGGAAGATGGCCCTGCTGTGAGCTGGAGGCTGGACCAGTGACCTCTAGAAGCCCCTTTCCACTAAGATTTTTCAGTGATCCTACGATTATCTGATCATCACAAAGTTTTTTGCCTTCTGGCAAAGGCTTCTTCAGGATTTCTCTAGTACTGAAATCTTCAGTTCCTTCACTACAGTTCATGAATCCACTCCCAAATGGATTTCTTCATTCTTAACCCTTTACTGTGATCTCAGCCTTCCATCTCCTTTCTACACTTTTGTGTGCTTTCTCTTTATCTGCTTTGTATCCTTCCTTTAATTTATACCACTTTTTAATGCATATACCTCACAAACTATGTGCAAGAGCCTTCCAAACAAAGGCTCAAGAACAAAGCTTTTCTGAGTTGTAGAACATCTCTAGATCATCTAGGTATCATGCTATGTAAGTTTAGGATTTTTGTAATTGGATTGTCTGATGGCATTGACAGAGGGAGTTACCTAAATGTTTGTAAGCTATATTTCAGTGAGCAATAAGAAATAGTCAATATCTCTACTGCTTGTGCTGTTCTGCACAATCTCATGAACTACCTCCAGGGAAGGATCAAAGATCTTTTTCTGTTAATACTCCTACTGCAAAGGGTCTCCTGGAGAGGAGATTGCTTCCCTCAGTAATAAGAGTACAGGTAGATGAATAGTTCATTTCTCCCAACTGCTTAGTGAACAGCCAAGTGTCATTCTTCCTCACCTTCACTTCATATATTTCTAGCATTTTAACATTCCTCAAAGTTTTCCAATAAATGTTTTCCAGGTAGCAATGGAAAGCCTCAGTCTTGCATGAATACAATTGACATAGCCTACTTTAGTCCTTTAGTTCACCTGTTATAAAGATATTCGTAGTTTTGGGGCAAAACTGAAAATACCAACACTCAAAGAAAATTTCAGTCAGAAACTGGAATTTGCAAGTCTATGAATGTTTTCTGGGTTTGTTCTTCTAACTTCTAATGCTAATGTTAATTGAGAGTAGAGGTTCCTATGTTATCAAAGTAAGGTCTATCTTTTCTGTTGGCTTTTGTGACCTTCTTTCTATTCCCATTTTATGGTGATAATTAACTAAGATCCAAAAGTAAATTAAAATCATCAGGTGAACATACACATAAATTAAAAGGAGAATATGAAAAATCTGAAGAGAAATTCTAAACCCTAGGTTCCTTGGCTAGAATCCCAGATGAAAACAGAGAAGGATAAACCTCTCACTTTGTCAAAAGAAACTTCAACATTCTCAAATATTCTTTCATTGGAGGGCTACATTACTGGTGGCTTTGAAGCCAAATATGTTTCTAATCAATCTTTTTCAGAATTCTGAGCAGAGGCCATTAAAGGTGTGACAAATCTAAGGCATTTTACAAATGATAGAAACATTAAGTGGATTAATTAAGATGAAAATAACCAAGGCGAATCACGTTTAGACTGCTAATGTTTCCCTTTTTGTTTCTTCTCATGAGCACACACAGGGACATGCACTTTTAAAATGTCAATCTGTAGGACCCCATTCTTCAATCTTCTTGCATTTGAAAGATTGACTTTGCTGTCTTCTACTGATAGTTTCATTTGATTTCTGAAACTAAAATTAAGTTTGTCATCTAACTGATTGATACTTACACAGACATCAGAAGGTGTATTTTAGCTATTTATAAAAAGCTTTAGTATATAATTCTTTCAACAAAACAATATTTTCTTAGTACTTAGTAGTAAGAAGAAGGGAATTATGGACTAAAAAAAATTTGTTTTTTTCCCATTTTATCATGGAAAGTGTATTCTCATTGAAAGGATATTATTTACTGTGCTTTTTGATGGTGAACTCTTTTCAAGGGTGAGGTCTCACGGAAGTACAGATCACAGCCTAAGACACTGCTACATAAACATTTTTTTCTTACTGGTATGTCACTGCTAAAGCAAGATTCATTAACTACTTTGTGTAATAGCATAATAACTTGTGAGGATGCTGAACTCAATCTTAGGAAAAGTTTATATGTGTCTAAACATTCATATTTTCTTATTATTTTGGTATTTTATTTCCTAAACTCTTTAAGAGGATGAGAAAAAAGTTTTAAATTTTTTTGTATTAGATTTTATTCAATACTGTGATTGCACTTTCACACTCATTACAAAATAATTGATCATTTCCCAGCACACAGTGTGACAGTACGTAGTAACTCTCACAGCTTTCTTCCACTTTAGTTCCAGAGTAACTTGCATTTTTACGGATGTGATAGAACAGTGACATAAGACTCATACCATACTTTCCACTCTTTCAATTATTTGTGAGACAGTTAATGAAGCACGGAAAACAACATCTTTTAGCATCTTACTACCTGAATTTCTATAGCTGTATCTAGTTCCTATCCAGTTATTCTGTTAAGAAACCATATTTAAATAGAGGATATCACAGAATATTAAGTATTTCAAAAGCCTTAATATCCCCTTGTGTATTTTGCAGACAATCCTGGGCTAGTGAGCCACGTTCCAGTTGGTGTTAGAATCCTGGACATCAATGACAACCCTCCTGAGCTTGCCAGAGAGTATGATGTAGTTGTCTGTGAGAATGCAAAGCCTGGTCAGGTAACTCTTACGGTTATCTCTTTCCCAGTGAGAAAGAAGAATTACTTCATTTGTTAATGCCACATATACAAGAAATTTGATTCGGGGAACATGTGTCATAATTCTTTCTGGTTTCATTTTTGTATTTCACATTTGATTCAAATTTTTAAGTGTATTAGGCTGAAGGGAGAAGACTTGGGAATTTGTTCAATATATCTTTCTTGTTGCTGTAAAAATATACCCAAACTGTCTTCAGTAAAGACACACAAAACTTTAATCTTGTCAGATAAGTGATGGAATTTGTTAAGTCACTATCCTGAACAAAATGGATGAAGCAGATTTAATGTCTCTCATCCAAGTGCCACTTGGTAGCGAGTTTTCAAATATAGCTCAGTGAAATGGCTGGTTAACATGGCTGCCATCAACATTTTTTGCATGTTAATCAACCTTGTCTGTGCAGGGTCATTATGCAAAACATGTTGAACAGGTTTTTCACAACTATGAGCATAGGGAGGGTCACAACTGAGACTGAATCGCAGAATCACATTCCAGCTGCTGCTCCTGTGATAGATGCACTTCATTGTAGTCCATGGTTTGACAATTTTACCAAGTGCCTTTGCTTTTTTGCATAGATTGAGCTTTTACCCAGCACTCTATGCTGGTTTTAAATTATTGCACAGTATGTAAGCTACAGCTGAGAGCTCACATCTTTCCTGAGGAATATACTACTAGTGATAACAGTTTTCTCATCAAGTCTTTAAAAGCAATGTACATAAATGCATAGTGACATTTTTCTATTTTTAATGCTGAGGTTAAAAAAATGTCAGACTATAGGCTGACCAAAGTTATCTTGGCTCTAACAGTGGTCAAAAGCTGACACCTAAAGACCAATATAAGAACACGGCAAGTATGTATGATACTTACCACATCTAATTCCCTGGAATCATTTCCTGATCCAACTGTGGTTGCTGGGTTTTTAGTAATCCTTTAATAACCAACTCATATGAATCTGTCCGGCTTTTCCTACAGAAAATATAAACTTGATATTTGCTATCTCATGCAGCAAGGAATTTTACCATTTAATTGCATGTTTCAGGAAGACCTACCACCTGCTTTTTTTCTGCTTTTTTTTTTTTTTTTAATCTTCCCATGCTGTCTTCAATTCATATTTACCAGTTCTTGTGTTGGAAGAGAGAGAAAGAGCGCAGCTGATCCCTATTTACTATCTGAATGCCATTCATAAATCTCATAAATCACATTGCCCCTCAGCCGTCTCTTATCCAGACTGAAAAGTCCTACTTAACTTGGACAGGCTGTGATAAAGCCCTTCTAGACTTTTGATCATTCATCTTGTCCTCCTCTAAACTTTCTCCAATTCCTCTCTATTGACCTTGAGATGGAGAATGGAGATTCAAGACGCATGTATGCAATGGTTTGTAATTCTAGTCATAGCTTATGCTTCATGGTATACGACGATCTCTGCTTTGTTCTCTGTCTTTCCTAGCAATTTCTCTGCTTTTTAACCACTAGTAAGTATTAAATAAAAAAAACTGCCCACCATAACACCTATATCATTGGAAGCAATGGTCAGTTCAGAGAGCACCATCATGTATCCGATGTAAAGACTTTAGGTCTACGTATAATGAATTTCATCCGTCTTTGTATCACCTGGCTGCTGACTATTGGAAGGTCTTTAGTGTCAGCCCTTCCTCTTTTCCTCCTTGAACAACTCAGTATCTCAAGCAGATTTGGTGGGCTGATCATTCATACTCTCTATAAGACGTTCATTATTACACTGACCAACAAGTGGCCCAGCATAAATCTGTGTCGAACAGGAAATCTCTGTGACTTCCTTTCCTTTTAGAATAGACAATTTACAGAAAAGAATTTACAGAAGAGACCCTCTTTCCTGTCTATTGAGCAATTATTTGTGCAAGGACCTTCCCTCTTATCTCATGACTGCACAGCTTTCTTCAGCGCTTTTGTTGAGACACCTCACTCAAACTCTTTGAAAATCTAAGTAGGTCTGTCTATCAACTGAATATATCTTATTAACTTGCTTATTAAAGTAAAAATAATGTGTTGAAAACCTCAAATAAAGCCAAATATAGAAGAATTAGAAGTTGTAAAGGACTAAAAGAAGATAAAATCTCTTAAGCATTAATTGCAATTGCTTTCAACATATTCTAATATTTTCTAAATTATATAATTTAACAATAGTAGTTATAATTAATAATAAGCTAAAGAGTGCAGTGAAGCTAGCTCAGAAACACTTTGTTTGCCAGGGATGTTGTTTCTGGTGAGTGTTATAGGTTTGCATGGCAAGATTCTGGTAGTGGGGGGGCTATAGGGGTGGCTTCTGTGAGAAGCTACACGCAGCTTCCCCCATGTCTGATAAAATCAGTGCCAGCCAGCCCTAAGACGGACCTGCTGCCGGCCCAGGCCAAGCCAATCAGCGACGGTGGTAGTGCCTCTGGAATAACAGATTTAAGCAGAAGAGGAAAAAAAACTGTGGTGAAATGGCAGTGAAGAGAGAGGAGTGAGAAGATGTGAGAGAAACAACTCTGCAGACACCAAGGTCAGTGAATAAGGAGGGCGCAGGAGGTGCTCAAGATGCCAGAGCAGGGAGCCTTCCCAGGACCTGCAGACCCGTGGTGGAAGGGACCCACGCTGGAGCAGTTCGTGAAGAGCTGCAGCCCGTGGGAAGGACTCACGTTGGAGTAGTTCGCAGAGAGCTGTCTCCTGTGAGAGGGACCTCATGCTGGAGCAGGGGAAGAGTGTGAGGAGTCCTTCCCCTGAGGGACAAGGAGCAGCAGAGACAACATGTGATGAACTGACCACAAGCCCCATTCCCCATCCCCCTGTGCCGCTCAGGGGGGGAAGGAGGTAGAGAAACGGGAGTGAAGTTAAGCCTGGGAGGAAGGGAGGGGTGAGGGGAAGGTGTTTTAAGATCTGGATTTATTTCTCACTATCGTACTCTGATTTGATTGGTGAAGAATTAAATTCCCTTTTCTCCCCAAGTTCAGTCTGTTTTGTCCATGACAGTAATTGGTGAGTGATCTCTCCCTGTCCTTGTCTCGACTCTCGAGCCTTTCATCATTTTTCCTCTCCCCTGTTCAGCTGGGGAGGCGGAGTGATAGAGTGGTTTTGGTGGGCACCTGGCATTTATCCAGGTCAAACCAAAACAGTGAGTAGCTAATGTTTCTTACTAGCAAAGTTTTAACTCTCCAGTAGTAGCTCTGCAAGTGGAAATTTATGAGAGACATTTAAAGGATAAAATAAGTTTTACTGTAATAGCATTTGCTCCTAATTCGGGTCAGTGCTGTGTTTCTTTCTGTTGCAAGTGTGAATGACTCCTGATCTCTGTAACATTACAGTTTAACACCCAAGATTAATGCTACCGTTAAGTACTCTAGAAGCAGTACTTTAATATGAAAGACTGGATCAGCATGTTGTTGTGTTCTTAAACTAACGGGACTTCATCACATACATTACATGCACTAATTTTTATTTGCATTGCACAACAATGTTTCAGAAAAGATTGTGATACCATTGCAATGTACAAAAGCCAAACCAAAACGAAAGCACAATGGTACATGGCTCTTACTCAGAAGATCTTACTGTCTAGTTTAAGAAAGAAAATTACAGTGTTCAACAAATATTGAGGAGGGACAAATAAACAAGGATTACAGAGCAAGACAAGCGTTCCATATGCTAAAAAGCATGCCCAGCTGAATGGTTTTGAATCACTGAAAAGGCAATATTTACTTGTCCATAAGATTTACCACTAAAAAACAAATTCTGTCAGATATTGCCAGGCAATTCTGCTTGACTAATGCTTTCAGATTGGGCTCCAGCCCTGCACTGCCCTGTAAGAGTACACATTTCTCTCTTCAGCACATCTGTTTTAGAATCGTAGAATGCTTTGGGTTGGAATGGACCATTAGAGGTCATCTAGCCCAACCTCCCTGAAGTGAGGAGGGACATCTTCAACTAGAACAGGTTGCTCAGAGCCCCATCCAACATGACCTTGAATGTTTCTAGGGATAGGGCCTTAACTACCGCTCTGGGCCACTCATTTCAGTGTTTTACTCATTTACCCTCATTGTAAAAAAATTTCTTCCTTATATCCAGTCTAAATCTACCCTCCCTTAGGTTAAAGCCATTACTCCTTGTCCTGTCACAACAGGCTTTACTAAAAAGATTGTCCCCATCTTTCCTATAGGCCCCCTTCAGGTACTGGAAGGGTGCTAAAAGGTCTCCCTGCAGCCTTCTTTTCTTCAGACTGAACATTTTTGTCACCCTCCTCTGGACCCGCTCCAACAGCTCCACATCCTTCTTGTGCTGAGGACTCCAGAGCTGGATGCAGTACTCCAGGTGGGGTCTCACCAGAGTGGAATAGAGAAGCAGAATCACCTCCCTCGACCTGCTGGCCACGCTTGTTTTCATGCAGCCCACTCAGCTTGGTGTAATCTGCATACTTGCTGAGGGTGCACTCAATCTCGCTAATTCATTGATGAAAATATTAAATAGCACTGGTCCCAATATGGATGCCTTAGGGACACCATTTGTCACTGATCTCCATCTGGACATTGAGCCATTGACCATTACCCTGTGGCTGCAACCATCCAAGCAATTCCTTATCCACCAAACAGTTCACCCACCAAATCCATATCTCCCCCATTTAGAGAGAAGGATGCTGTGAGGGACTGTGTCAAAGGCTTTACAGAAGCCCAAATAGATGACATCTGCTGCTTTTCCCTTGTCCACTGATCTAGTAATTCCATCATAGAGAGCCACTAGGTTGGTCAGGCAGGACATGCCCTTGGTGAAGCCATGCTGGCTGTCTCGAATCACTTCCCTGTCCTCCATGGGCCTTAGCATAGCTTCTAGGAGGTTCTGTTCCATGATCTTCCCAGGCACAGAGGTGAGGCTGACAGGTCAGTTATTGCCGAGGTCCTACTCTATTTTTTTTAAAAATGGGTGCAATGTTTCCCTTGCTCCAGTCACCAGGGACTTCA